AGCGGGACAGCCCAAGCACGCCTGGACTGTCCCGCTGCGGGCGTGCTCCAAGGCTTTGCTCCCCGTCTCCCTGCAGACCAGGGAGACGGAGAGCAAAGCCCAGGCGGTGGCTTTGCTCGGGTGTCCCTGGTCTGCTGGGGGAGTCCAGCAGCTTTGCCGATCCACGTAAGTCGGGGACTGCCTGGATCCATAATAATTCCAAGATCTGAGTAGTTGTAGCTAAATTCTGTCCCGCTGCGGGCGTGCTCCAAGGCTTTGCTCCCCGTCTCCCTGCAGACCAGGGAGACGGAGAGCAAAGCCCAGGCGGTGGCTTTGCTCGGGTGTCCCTGGTCTGCTGGGGGAGTCCAGCAGCTTTGCCGATCCACGTAAGTCGGGGACTGCCTGGATCCATAATAATTCCAAGATCTGAGTAGTTGTAGCTAAATTAGTCCCCATCCTATTGTATGTAGTTGGGATTATTTTTTCCCAATGTGCATTACTTTACATTTATCACCATTAAATTTCATTTGCCATTTTGTTGCCCAATCACTTAGTTTGGTGAGATCTTTTTGAAGCTCTTCACTGTCTGCTTAGGTCTTACTTATCTTGAGCAGTTTAGTATCATCTGCAAATTATGCCACCTCACTGTTTACCCCTTTCTCTAGATCATTTATAAAAAAGTTGGACAGGATTCAATTGAATATCTAGCAGATCTAAGCAAACAGAAGCGAATTGTATTTACCTGGGCACACCCAGAATCTCATTCTTTAAACTGAAAGTGTTTCTCTTCTTTGCACCAGGTTAAGCATAGACTTTTCCTGTCACCCACCTTCAGAGAAACAGAGGCTAGGGACACCATTCCTACCCATCCTGGCTAATAGCCAATGATGGACATAACCTCCATAAATCTATCTAGCTCATACAATAATAATATACATTGCAATCATTATTAACACAATTGTGACCCAACACCAGCCAAGTTTATTACAATTACTCCATCAGCTAAATATCTAACACATCTAAGCAAAGCAGGAGCAAGCTGTATTTACATAGACACACCCAGAATTTATCTCCCACTCCAGCTACCTATAATGAAAGCATTCATTCAGTTCCTGCTTACAAATACTTAGAAAAGCTTTAAGAGAGGTAACTTTGTTAGTCTCTTTCAGCAAAAAAAAAAAACGAGTCCTGTGGCACCTTAAAGAATAACCAGCACCCAAGGCGGATATTGATATAATGATGCTGTGTCCTCTCCCCTAGCACAGTAAAAGTGCTTTATATTGCCATCACAATTCTCATACAGGAAGAAAGAATGACCTTTTGTGTGGCAAAGCCTACACTGCAAAGTTTTGTCAGCATAGCTACATAAGCATGGATGTGAAAAAATTATACACCCTAGCAGCCCAGATAATTATGCAAACAATACCCCAGTGCAGTGCAAAAAACAAATGCTTGAGGGAGGTAATGCAGCCAATGCCAGTGGAAGAACAGCTGTCAGCAGATCCTGCATCTACACTAGGGAGCTCTGCTGGCATAGCTACCCTGACAAAGCCTCCCTAGCGCAGACCAGGCCTGACTAACAGCGTTCAAGCTGTTGGTCATGGCTGCTATAGAGCAAGTGCTCTGGCTGTGGCTGGTTCTGGAAGAGAGGGCTGGGACATCGCCAAGGGAGCACGCCCAGGCACAAAAAAAACAAATTCAAGAAGTTGCAGGGGGCAGACAAAGACTACACAACCCAGAGGCCTTTGTGGCTGCTCCAGCAGCAGCTTCAGCTCCACGCGGCCAGCTGCTAGGATCTCCCTCAGGAATGACGCTATGAAAACAAACCGTGATTGGCCAGGTCCGAGCTGAATTTTCCATTTATGGACAGAGCGGCTGGCGCTGGAGTCCGGGACATTGGCTGCACAGGCGGAGCGGCGGCAGCAAGCGCAGAGTCCCCCGTCAGAGCATGAGAGGAGCCTCTCGCCTGCCCGGCTGCTGACACTCGCCCGCCCGCATGGGGTCCGCGCTGGCCTCCCCTCAGCGCCGCTGAACTCGGGTCCCTCACTCCGCGGTTGACGGACTTTGGCCGCTGAGCCAGGGGGCGGAAACGAGCCCGGTCCCCGGATCCACCGGCAGGCAGCCTGGGCGGAGCAGCAGCGGCAGACAGAGCAGTCGCCGCGGCAGCGAGATGGTGAGTGACGGAGCCGGGCTGGCGGGGGATGGGACCGAGCATCCCCCCTCAGGGCTGGAGCGGCGGTGGGGAGAGGGAACCCGACTCCGTGCCCGCTGTGGGCACTGGGGGAAGCGTGGCGGCGGCTGTTCCACGCTGCGTACCCCGTGCCGGGGCCCTGTGGGGATGCAGCCCCGCTCTTGCCGTGCCCGTCCTGTCAGTGTGTGCTGAGGGGGCTCTCGGGGCTCCCTCGGGGGGGCGCCGGCTCCAGCCGCGGGGCCCCTCCGCTGTCCCGGCCCCGTCCCGGGAGCCGCTTCTGTCCAACTCCCGCGTACAGCAAGTTGCTCCGGGGCCTGTTTCTTGTCCCTGGGGCAGCAGTTACCGTCCCCCTGAGCCAGCCGCTCTTCGCGCCCTTCGCCCAGCAGCCGGTGGGTGGCTGGGTGCCCCGAAAGCGGCTCTGGTTTGCCAGGTGCCAGCGCTAAGCCGGGCACGGACAGGCAGCGGGGAGCGCGGGCAGGGTTCACCAGAACGCGCCGGGGTAGGGAGAGCTGGCGGGGAACCGACAGGGGGTTCCTTCAGTCAAATACACGCGCCCCCCCCCCCTTAGCACTGAGTGCCCCAGCAAGGTGAGCCTCGCTGCCCACTTTGCAGCAGGCGGGATTGAGTGTGATGGCACAAGGGGAATTAAAACCTTATTTCTGCTGTTCTTCTTCCTGGTGTGTGGGAGCGGTGCCTCTTGCACTCTTTTCTCCCCGCATCGGGCTACCCACCGAATGTTAACATTCAGCACAATGTGTGTACACCGAATATAACCACAGGGTTTGAGGAAAAGTAAGGGAGTAGAACCACACCAGAAAACGACGCAGGCTCTTTTGCTGTAAACTATGGCTGATAATCTTGATGAAACTGGGAAAGACCCTAAGATTTTCATGGGAGTTACCTGGCTGATTTTTTTCCTACAATAATGGAAAATCCCCCAAATTGATTTTATTTTTCGACCATTTTTCTGATCTCGTTTTAATTTGATAAATAGTTGGACCATTCCATTGGAAAAAAATTCCAACAACCTCTACTGTAAACATTAATCTGGGAGCTATATGCACATACTGAGCTAGAGATATAGTATTATACTGTCTTTTATTTGATTTTAAAGATATGTAAAGGATCAGCCAAAGTCAGAAAAACAATGGGCTTTCTTCCTTAGAAAGTTATTCCTTTGAGGTGAATATAGCCCCATACATTTCAGGTAAACAATAAAGGTGTGAATTCCACAATGGTTTCTCAGAAACAATATTAGATTTTGTTTGTTGTTCACAACCACTATGTAATTTTTGACTTTGTTACAAGTGTGGGAACACAACTCCAGAACAAGCATATATATTTTATGATTAAGAAAATTACATGTAGTTAACTCAGTATTGTTCTTGTGAGGATCCAAAGTCACGTGGAATTGCTGCCACAGATTTGAGTGTTCTAAGCAACCCGCTCAAGCAGAATGAAACAATTAATCACATTTCCTCAGACTACTACTGCTATTTTTATAGCTCTGTCATTGTGCACACAGCAACACAGAAGATAACACTGTTCCTGCACCAAAAATGCCATAGCCTGAATTAGTCATACTGAAGAAGGATTTATTCTATCTGATCTAAGATTCTATCCTTCAAATTGCTGGACACGGTGCTGATGAAGCAAAGAACTTAACTTTAAACATGTGCTTTGTCCCACAAAGTGTATTTGAGGACAGTATTGTCTTTGTCATATTTTGCCACCCAACTTTGTCACCATGAGTTTCACATGCCTGTTACACTAATCTATTTTGGTGGCAGTCAGAATTGCTTAGCATTGTCCCTTTCTATTCTCCATTTTATATTTATTTATTGTATCTCCATGTATCATGAGATCCAAAATGCTTTTGGAATGTAGTCATATGGTAATGATGTCACAATAGATGAAACAAAATACAGGACTATGTAGCACTAGTTACACGACCCGCGAGCATCATCTAATAAACCATCTTGTTAGTCTTTAAAGTGCTACATAGTCCTGTATTTTGTTTCATCTATTGTGACATCATTAATAGATGGTACTTGCAGTGTTCTTCAGGTTACATCTCTAAACCCATCATTGTCTAGCTTCCATGTCTTAGGGTACATCTACACTGAACAGAAGAAATACTCCAAAATAGCTTATTCCAAAATAGGCATCTACACTACAGGGAAGCCTCAAAATTAGTCTGAGGCAGGCTTCCCTAGGACGCATTACGTCAATTTAGAGCCACAGGAAGCACTAGGGAGTAATTATGTAGTATGGCCCTGGGAGGAGCTATTTTGAAATAGCAGCTGTGGAGCATCCACACTATAGCTATTTTGAAATGGCAAATTTGGAAGAAGCGTTATTCCCCATGGAATGAGGCTTACAGAAATTGGAATAAGCTGTTCATTATTTCAAATTTATTTTGAAATGATGGAATTGCGGTGTAGATGCTCGCGTTGCTATTCCAAAATAATGCTGCTTTTGGGCAAATTAACATGTATTTGCAGCATATGTGATTGTTAAAGCAAAGATTCTTCTTCGCTAAGAACTTTGAAACAGCTGGATCTTTTGAAGGTCCATTATGAATAGGGAGATGCACCACAACTAAACAAGTTCTGAGTTGGATTAATTATGAAAAAACTAAGGGTTCTGCAGCTAGATTTTTGGCTGTACTGAACTGTGTTGGCATTAATTACAAAGAAGTCTCTTGCTGAATAGCAATAGCTTAAGTTTATATAGCATCTTTGATGCCAAGGCATGGCAGGTAATTATTTCAGCCACCTGTGGTGAGGAATACTGTAACATTACTCAGTAGTTTAGGATAGGAAATTAAACATTCTATATCCTAGGAGAATGGGAGAAAACCTGTAACTCCTGCATCCAAAAAAATTAGCTGGCTTGGCAAAAATATATTTCTGAAATAGTGGGCAAAACCCCTTCACTTATGACTTCCAATATGTTTTTATTTTCCAAGGATTAATTCTGAAGCTTGTTTTGATTTTAAGATTTAGTTGGTGCAAAACCTGAGATTATAACAATCAAAACTTCTGACTATTTCAGTGGAAAGTTTGTGTGCAAGGAATATAAGATTGGGCTGTTTTACTTCAAAGGATATCCATTTTGATTTTGTTTCTCAGCCCCTATTTCTTTTTAAGAGGATATAAGGCCAGCAAGCAGTAGCAGTAACTACTGCAAATCTTTATTAGAGGATTGAATAGAATCAGTTATTCAACTTCCAATAGCCACATGCAGTTCATAGTATTGATTAACAAATATGTTCTAAATATCAGAAGCTTGTTCTGCTCTCTTCAGAATGAGGAGACATTTTTAATAAAAAAATTGTGAAAGGACTTCATTAGAATACCAGTTTTGATCCCAACTATGAACATTTTGCTACTTTCCAAGAATCATAGAACACTAGAACTGGAAGGGACCTTGAGAGGTCATTGAGTCCCTGCCCTCAGAGCAGGACCAAGCACAGTCTAGACCAGTGGTCCCCAACCTTCAGAGGCTCCCGGGTGCCCGGGAGGTGGGGCTGCTCGTCCGGGGGCACGCTAGGGGACTGGGATGCCCTTGCACCCGGCGCGTGCCCTAGGGCCGGGGCTGGAGCCGCCCGAGCGCCTTGTGCAGCCGCCTGCATGCAGGATTGAGACTGCGGCTGCCAGTGTCATCTTACACCTGCCGAGTTTGCCCCTTTCCCATCACTACAGGACTTAGTGAGACTGGGGGGAGTAGACATGAGTATTTCCTTCTTGCCTGTGCAAAGGAGCTTACAAGTGGAGTGCAGTGTGCACAGGGGGCGGGGCCGGCCCAGGTTGTCGGCGGGCACCCACGAATGCCCCGGCGGGTGCCATGGCGCCCGCGGGCACCGCGTTGGGGACCACGGGTCTAGACCATCCCTGGTAGATGTCTATCTAATCTGCTCTTAAAAATCTCTCCAGAGATGGAGATTCCTCAACCTGCTTAGGCAACTTATTCTAGTGTTTAGCCACCCTGACAGGAAGTTTTTCTTAAGGTCCAACCTAAGCCTCCCTTGCTACCCGGCGGGTGCCATGGCGCCCGCGGGCACCGCGTTGGGGACCACGGGTCTAGACCATCCCTGGTAGATGTCTATCTAATCTGCTCTTAAAAATCTCTCCAGAGATGGAGATTCCTCAACCTGCTTAGGCAACTTATTCTAGTGTTTAGCCACCCTGACAGGAAGTTTTTCTTAAGGTCCAACCTAAGCCTCCCTTGCTACAATTTAAGCCCATTGCTTCTTGTCCTATCCTCAGAGGCAATTTTTCTCCCTCCTTGTGACACCTGTTTAGATTCCTGAAGACCGCTATCATGTCCCCTCTCAGTCGTCTCCTTTCCAAACTAAGGAATCTCAATTCTTTCTGTCTTCCTTCATAGGTCATGTTCTCTAGACTTCTTATCATTCTTGTTGCTCTTCTCTGAACTTTCTCTAGTTTCTTCACATCTTTCTTGAAATGGGGTGCCCAGAACTGGACACAATACTTCAACTGAGGCCTAATCAGCACAGAGTAGAGCGGAAGAATAACTTCTGTTTTGCTCACAGCACTCCTGTTAATGCATCCCAGAATTATGTTTGCTCTTTTTGCAACAGCATCACACTGTTGGCTCATTTAGCTTGTGGTCCACTATGACCCCTAGATCGCTTTCTGCAGTACTCCTTCCTAGACAGTCTTTCCATTCTGTATGTGTGAAACTGATTGTTCCTTCCTAAGTGCAGTATTTTGCATTTGTCTTTATTAAACTTCATCCTGTTTACCTCAGACCATTTCTCAAGTTTGTGTAGATCATTTTGAATTACAACCCTATCCTCCACAACAGCTGCAAACCTTCCCAGCTTGGGATCATAAAGAATCTGTTATCATTACATTATCTTTTATTTTGGCTATTAATGCTTTCTTTGCGTTACCTTTTTGAATTTTAGTTATATTATTTTTATGACAAGAGTTTTGAAACTTACATAACAAAGT